GTGCCTTTGGCCTACCTTACTCACAGAGAACCTGAGATGCAAACAGCCTCTGTTTTTTTACAACATCTGCTAAAACTCGTAGTAGGTTTTTTTGCCAATAAGGCAAGAAACAAAATTGTAAAACAAGCTGTAAAAATACACCTGCTGTATTTACTTTAAAAGAAACTTCCATAACTCCTTACTCTTCCCTGCCCACAAATTAGAACATCCTAGTCTTGGCCATGCTTAGTAGTCTCAAGTCAACCAATTGATATGCTGTCTTGTAACTTGTCTGCCTCATCTTCCCTGCCCTTTAACCGAAGCATTGCCTATTTCTGAACAAGCTTTTCCTAACAAGCTCTTCTTTCATTCAATTTGCTTTTATTTGTTTTTCTCTCAGTCTGTCTCCTTTGTTCTTCTCTGACAGAATTTTAAGTCTTCCTACAATCTTGACGCAGTCAGGGTGTGTCTCTCTCAACTCTGCTGTGTCCAGGATGGGTACCAGGATGTCTGATATTGGGTAAGCTTCCATTCTGGGCTAATGCTCCTATCAACCTTTTGTCAACTAGAGTATCTCCTAAATCAGGAAGATCATGGTAAAACAGCACCTCTATAAAGAAGGACATGCGCCTAAGTAATCCTCATTCTTAACTTTCTCAAACTGGGGGGAAAAAAATCCCACCTATATTAGTTTATTGCTTCTAGTAGTAGTTATCTACAGCTTACTTTACCAAAATAATGTACAAGTAGTCCTCAACTCACAACAGGTCATTTAGTGACCATTCAAAGTCACAACAATGCTGAAAAAAGTAACTTATGCTAATTTTTCACACTTATGATCACCGCAACATCCCCAAGGTCACGTGATTTATATTCAGATGCTTGACAATCCACATTTATGATGGTTTCAGTGTCCTGGGGTTATGTGATTCCCTTTTGCAACCTTCTGACAAGCAAAGTCAATGGGGAAACAAGCTTTACTTAACAAATGTGTTACTAATTTAATAATGGCAGCAAATGGGCCAAAGCTCACTTAACCAATTTCTCATTTAGCAACATAAATTTGGGGCTCAACTGTGGTCGTACGTCAAGGACTATCTGTATTTCAATTCTGATTCTGCTCAACCCACTTCACGCTGTGAATTGTCTTACTAGATAACAGAGAAATATTTAGCACAGAGTTCTGCAATCAGAAATCTAAACAAATCTTCATCTATAGATGAAAAAAGCAGTTATCTTAAAACCCATTGCACTTTTTAAACTTTAGCTGTTAAGTGTGCAGAAATGTTAAGAAAGTGCCTTAGTTTTAATATACACAAGTAAATATGACACATTCAAATATAGACCCAATTACCATATTAGTAATGGGTGGCCTTGGGCAAGTCAAGTAGTTTCAATTCCCCTTACATGTTAAAAGAACAACAGTAATCTACTTTATTAGGATTTCTGCAAGATCAAGCACAAAATATTGCTATTTTAAAGATGCATACAATATGTGGTACAAAATAAAACCTCTTCTACCTTTCAGAATACAAAACAGGCAGTATTCTTGAATTCTTAACTGGTATGAAAACAAAATCTGCCTGCTTCATTTCCAGATGGTGAAAGCTGCAAAAAGTTAAAACTAGCAAAGAAAGTTACTCATTTTGTTAGCCCAGTTTCACATACCTGCTACCAGTAATACAGAGCAAAAAAAAGTATACAACCAGTTTTTAAGCAAGTTAGTGAGTTAACTTTCATTCCAAGAAATGTCTTAAAATCAAGTTATTAAATGTCTTCAATCAGTTACTTTAAAACAGCTCTTAGGCAGAGGTATTTTACAAGGCTGCCACAAAGCTATGATAGATCACAAGACATTATCTGCATTTTGCTATCAATGTTTTTTAGAAATTATGTTGAAACTATCTTTCAGAATAACAGAGTTGGAAGGGACCTTGGAGGTCTTCTAGTCCAACCCCCTGCTCAGGCAGGAAACCCTACACCACTTCAGACATTGACTGTCCAATCTCTTCTTAAAAATTTCCAGTGATGGAGCACCCACAATTTCTGGAGGCAAGTCGTTCCACTGATTGAACTTTCTGTCAAACTAACTTTAAAAGGACCAACTTCATAAAGCATGTGTGTAAGCAGTATCAAATGTAACAAAACTGACTCTCAAAATTTATAAGATTGCATTTAATGTATTATGGCAGTTGTAGAAACTGCTACTGTCAATGGAAGCAGAGGACCAATCTCTTTCCCTGTTGTAATCAATCATACCTTCAAGAACTGCACTAGAAAAGTCCTGCAAATTTATATTTTGATTAAATGTTGGGGTCAAATGTGGCAGAAGAGAGAATTTACTGGTATACTATTCATTCTCTACTGTGCCTCAAAAGGCAATCAAGGGATATTTTTTATAAGTAAATGAAATTAGTTAATATAGTCTGGGCACTTTCTAGACATTGTTTTCCCCATATCAATAACTGCAAACTGCCCAACTCCTGCTTCTACCTCATCCCTTTGGAGATCATGTCTCATTTAGAATTCTTTCCAACAGAACTTTTATTGCTCACCTAATGAGCATATAACTGTTCAGTCTTGATAACAGCAGGTATGTTTTCAAAATGCATTTTCTTCATAAAGAAACTGGGCACTTGTATAAGAAAGGAAAAAGGGGTAAATACATTACTCTGAAGTTGAATTCACTCAACAGAATTGCAATTTCCAAGTACATGACTCCTTACAACAAGAATCAACATTTCCTGTATTACGAGAATTTAATCCCATTCATTATATTAGCTCAGAAACATAATTGTAGCCAACATCCTGACAAGAACACCAACAATTCCCAGAAACCAATGCATGTTATTAGCTCATAAGTAGTCAGAATTTTGTATTGATTGAAAACACCAAATGCTTACCACTGAGGTGACACCTTATTTCTGAAATAAGCATCCCATGTCAGTTCTTGATTAACTCATCTAAATACAGGAAATTGTGTACTCTTTTTGTCAACAACCGTGGCTTTTCTGAAAGACAATATTTTCTCCATTTTTTTAAAAAAATATTGTTGAGTGGCCAAACATCAAGGGAAAAGGTGGGGAAGGGGGAATGGACAGAATCCTTTCTTGATATGCCATAACTGCCCAAAACAACCTTTCAGAACTCATTCAGAAGTAAATTTGTGCAGACAATATTTTGTAGCGTTATTTGAGAAAGGAGACAGAACTTCAAATCATTTAATCTTATTACTGGTTTATCATAGGGGCAGGAAGGGGTATACAGCGTTAAAAAAAAAACCAAAAGGTATATTCTATCCTAAAATATATAGTTTGCCTTCCTTCCTATACAGTACTTCTACCCATGCCCCTATTTAAAGACCTAAAGGGGAAAACTTTCCCATCTCGACGACACAACGATGTGTGCGCTTTTTGAAACTCCTTTTCTATGGAGGAAAAAATGAGGACACCCTGAGTACGATAAAGTCACACTACCACAATACCGAACCTATGAACCTATTTACCATCACCGACCCATTTAAACTTGTCCTTCTCTCCTCCCCCCCACCCCCCACCATCTCTCCATCTACTTTGCCTGCAGACGCAGGTGAGGCTTGCTTGCAAGAGAGTTAGGAGACGATGCTTCTATCCTTTCTACCCTCTCTCTCTCTTTCGAGGCTCTTCTTCCAAATCCATGCCTGCGCCTGGATACATTACAAACCCGGCCTCTTCCAGGAGCTTCCGATGGCCGCCTTGATGACGCCCCTCTTTAAGAAGGGAAACTCGGGCTGAGACTCCGGGCAGGAGGAGGAAGAGGAAAAGGGAGAGGAGAAGGCAGAGGAGAAAGAGGAGGAAGAGGAGGGGGTGGAGGAGAAGGGAGAGGAGGAAGAGGGAGAGGAAGGGGAGGAGAAAGGAAAAGGAAAAAGGAGAGGAGGAGGAGGAGAAGGGAGAGGAGGGAGAGGAAGATGAAGGAGGAGGAAAAGGAGAAAGAAGAGGGAGGAGGAGAAGGGAGGAGGAGGAGGGAGAGGAGGAGGATGAAGAGAAGAAAAAAGAAGAGGGAGAGGAGGAGGAGAAGGGAGAGGAAGAGGAGGAAGATGAAGGAGGAAAAGGAGAAAGAAGAGGGAGAGGAGGAGGAGAAGGGAGGAGGGAGAGGAGGAGAAGGAAGATGAAGGAGGAAATGGAGAAAGGAGGAGAGGAGGAGGAGAAGGGAGGAGGGAGAGGAGGATGAAGAGAAGGAAAAAGAAGAGAGGAGGAGGAGGAGAAGGGAGAGGAGGAAGAGGGGGAGGAGGAGGAGGAGGAGAAGGGAGAGGAGGAAGAGGGGGAGGAGAAGGGAGAGGAGGGAGGGAGACTTTCCAGACCAGCTCCCGGGAAGCCCAAATTGCTGCTGCTCCTCTTCTTCCTCCTCCTCCTCCTCTCTGCTCGCGAGGAAAACCTGCCTCGGGAGGGAAGCGGAGCCCCTCGACCGGCGGCCGGCCAAGATGCTGCTGCTGTTGCTCGCTGCTGCTGCTGCTGCTGCTGCTGCTGGTTCCCCCCCGCCGGCCCTGCAGAATCCCCGCCTCAGCCCGGGAGGCTGTTGCAGCAACCCCGCAGTGGCGGCGAAGGGGCTGCAGCGTGCGCCGCGCGAGGGAAGCAGGCGATCCTGCCCGGGCGCGCGCTTGACGCCCGAGAAGGAGCGAGGCTCCCGGAATATTGGGGGGAGGGGGGGGTTCGGGGAGGCCGAGCATCCGCGGCCGGCCCATCCCACTGCCTGAGGCGGACTCGCACCGGGGGAGGGGAGGGGGGGGCAAAGGGGGCGCCGGGAGGCGGGGTCATTTTTCTTTCTCCCTTCCCCCCCCCCGTTTTCTTCGCCGCCCCTCCCCCAGCCAGGGAAGGCCTGCCCCTCCCCCACCACAACAAAGCGAGGGCGCCACCCCCACGCGCAGCCCAGGCTTTGGGGCCTATGCCGCCCCCGGTAGCTCCCTCCCTCCCTCCCTCCGCCGCCTCTCGTCCCCGCCGCTCCCACTCGGCCACCCGTGCCGGGCGGCCACCCCTGAGACCAACCTCCGCGCCCCCCGAGCTGCGCCTCTGCCGCCCTCGTTCTTTCTCGCTGGCTGCCCCTCACCGCTCCGCACCCGCCATTGGCTGGCCGGGCCCGGACCCGCCCCGCCCCTTTCTTCGTCCCGCCCGCCGCGCGTGACGCCGTTGGCTGGCGCGGCCGTCCATCCAAAGGAGCGTCGGCGCGGAATGGAGAAAGCGGGGGGGAAAAGAAGGCGGGGGCTTAGTCGCCGAACGCCTCTTTTTTTTTTCCCTCCCCCTCCCCCCCGCCTTCGGGCCTGGCTTTAGCCCCGCCTTTCGCTCGCGGCCTCAGCAAACGGCGATTGGTGTCGGGAGAGGCGACTCATCGCTCTGACGCGAGGCGCGCTCACTCCGCTGGGGAAGGGAGGCTGCTTGAGGAGGACAGAAGGAACCTCCGGATTGGCTGCGGCGCGCATCAAATCAAACCCACCCACCCACCCCCGGCTCTGGGTCCCGCCTCTTTCCCCGTCGCGTTTTTTCGCGACCTGAGTCCGGAGAGGGCTTCGCAAAAAAAAAAAAAAAATTGGGTTGAGCCACATGTAGGGGATTAGTGGATTCCTCCGCGTTAGTTCCGATAACCTTCCGCGCAGCAGGAAGAGAAGAAATAGTCCCCGCCACGTCCCAAAATCCAAATTATTCCGAAAAACAATAAAAGCTATTTCTCTTTTTCCCACCCCGAAAGCCACAGGCAACCTCTTCCGTCCCAGAACTAATTTTGGTTTCTCTCAGAAACATTTGCTTTCTCACCTCAGCACCACGCCCAGGTGTGAAGAGAAAAAGGCTTAGGCAGTTCATACTTTCTCCCGGGAGAAAATTGAATGGGGAAACTCTTCAACTGAACATTTTTGTTATTGCAATAAAATATTCTGGATGCACGAAAGGAGCCATGCTCAAAAGTTGTGCGCTGTGTGTTTTGCACGTCCTGCATGCGTGCAACTGACTTAATATGTTGGTGTATGTGTGTATTATGCAACCTCGGCACCAGAGATTTCCAAATGGTGGAGTGTATATTAATTGGCCCGGCTGCCTTTCTCTTTTTTTCCCCCCTCTGCAGTGGAAGAGTAAGCATTTAAAGGGCTAACAAAGCCAAATTCATATGGCTTTTTTTTTTTTTTTTGGTCTTTGCACAACGTTTGAACCAAGTTTTGCCGATCCATGTTCACCCATATTGGTGAATTGGATTAGGAATTCATTTGGGATTGTGGGGTTTTTTTGTGTGGGGAAGTGTGTTGTGCAAACCTGCCACTTTATTTGTTATGGCTCGATGTTTTGAGTGAACCCAGAAAGTGACTTGATCCAGCATCCAGGTTCAGCATGTATGAATGCACACAACATGACATGAAGCTGCTTTTGACAGGGATGCTAGCCAAGGGAAAACTTTCGTTTGTGCAACCCAAAAATAAGATTGTTGCAAAAGTCACAGAGAGCACCCCCCCATCAAATTTTAAAGGAGTCAATAATTATTATTTAATGTTTAGTCAATTGGAAAACCTGAAGGACCAGGTTAAGGATAGATTGTTATGGAGCAAATCGTATCTATCTGGTCATTAGGAGTCAAAAACGACTTAATGGCCCAGAATCAACAACTGATCATCGTATTCATAGGCCAACACAAAGGGGGGGTCAGAATTGTAATCCACATTTTAATGTATTTTAATGATTGATGTGGCCACCCCATTCACAGTAGTGACTTCAGTGGTGTACAAAAACCATCAGTTGTTAACAGTCTCAAGTAGAAACAGCAAATTCCAACCTACAATGAAAACATCACCCAGAAGACTTTACTTATATCCCCATTTCTTTTTTTCTTTTGCCTCCCATTATTTCTTTGGGGGGAGGAGAAAGTTATTACAGGTAGTCCTCATCTTACAACAGTTCTTTTAGTGACCAAAGTTACAAAGGCATTGAAGAACGTGACTTACGACCAGTTACAACCTTTGCAGCATCTCCATGGTCAAAATTCAGGTGCTTGGCAACAGATTTATGTATTATGACTGTTGCTATGTCCCAAGGTCATATGATCTCCTTTTATGATTTTCTGACAAGTACAGTCATTATAGAAGCCAGATTCACTTAACAACTGGATTATTATCAGCCACAGAGATTCACTTAACAACTGTGGCAAGAAAAATTGTAAAATGAGGCAAAACTCACTTAACAAATGCCTCACTTAACAAAAACTTTGGGCTCAATTGTAGTTATAAGTTGAGGTCTACCTGTACAATATACAGAGAATGACCAGAGGAACATAAAAACCCATCTCCTTTTCCTTCCCTTTCTTTGTTACCACCTCATTTTGATGCATTATTTATTAACTTATTGGCTGATTTGCAACCATTTGTAAAAATAGCTCCTAGCTACATTGTTCAGATGGGCAGGAGTGGGGAAGAGAAATTCTGTGTTTTGGTAAAAGTGTGTCAGCAGTTACATCCCCATTTCTTCCTATCGAGTAAAAAAAAAAAGACACAAAAAAAATAAAAGAAAAATCTCTTAACGTCCTCCTTGGCCAATTGTTTGCCCTCATCCTTTGTGTGCAAGTTGCATTAATCTTATTTTGCAGGGACATTTTTCTCCTCTCAAAATTTCCCACCTTGTTTCACAGCAATGGTGCCTCCCTTCCTTCCTAAAATTATCTTTTCAGAGGGCCTAAGGGAGGGAGAAACACATTTCTTTTGCTGATCTACAAAGTGCCAAGGACATTGAGCTAAGCCATCCTGCAGCTTTGTTTGGTTTAGGGATCAAGTAGGTGAATCCAGACATTGTTCCCAAGGCAAGGTTTAGGGCTTAACTTCTATGTGTGGATTCAGCAAACAGATCATCGGCTGAATGACCTTAAGTCAGGAAGCAGACGATCAAGTCTGACTTACCTTCCCTTGCTAGTGCTAAATACAAATTAATCATCATCATAATAACATCATCATTGGGCCTTGAGCTTCACAAGGTGGTGAGCAGCCAGCACCCTTCCAACAAATAGGCCCTGCTAATTCTTTCTATTAGGAAATAATGTCAAAGTTCATCTACACCTTAAGGATGGTTTTCGGATAGCCTGATTTGCAGCCATTAACAAATGATAAAGACTGCCTCCTGAGCAGCATTTAGACAGCAGAGTTTGCCACCTCCAAGTGATAACCCTTTCTTTTCATGCTGTGAAAATCCTGCATACCAGCCAGTGTTTAAAGGGTGTTACATAATAAGATGTTAATGGCTGTGGCATCTTTCATTGCTGGGCCTTATGATCACTTGAATTACAATTACAATGGTTTCCTTGGGAATTTGCTGCAACCAGACAGCACTTGGACAGCAGTTTCCCTTGGACAGTGAGGCAAGCCTATGACACATGTGTCAAAGGTGACACACCACAACATTTTGGGTGACACACCAGCATTCACCAATATCTGACAATAACAATTTAGGAAACACGACTCCAAAAATTAGTTTGTTTTATTTGTATTTCATTTATTATTTGATGTTTCTGTATATAATACATAGCACCAGTGGTGATTGGACTGTATTGTTTTAAAAATAAATAACTATGTAAAGAATCATTTATTTTTTGCTGGGGGAGAGGAAGTGTGACACGCCAGCAGAGTCAAGGGAGGCAATATTTTTAAAAAGTTTTAACACATTGAGCCCAAAAGGTTCACCATTATTGCCCAAGGGGAATGATAACTCCAAGATATCTTTACAGGAATACAGATTTCAAGTGATGGAATTTAACTCCTCTTTAAAAAGAATCTCAGCAGGTTTTCTAAGTCAGATAAGAAAATAAGAACATAGTTTCACTTGGCATTTGGTATGCAACCGTGTTAGTCTGCAATTTTGCATAACAAGTATTTAAAATACAGAGGAATGGTTCCCCTTTGAAATGATCATGAGGGAAGGGGAAACTGTTTGTGGGATTTATAGACTGCCCATTCTGAAGCCCTGATTGTTAGAAATTTCAATAGAGATGCTAGAATACTCCTCCTTCCTCCTGTTTTCCCCATAACAACAACCCCGTGAGGTGGATCGGGCTAAGAGAGGGTGACCAGCTTTAGCCAGTTTTCATGCTTAAGGCAGGATTAGAGCTCAGAGTCTCCTGGTGGTTGGCCCAAAATCACCCAGCCAGTTTTGGTGCCTAAAGTAGAACTCATCCTCCCCTGGTTTCTAGCCTGGTCCCTTTAACCACTAGACTAAACTTACAATGTTTTGTGATAGTGTATATAAAATATACAGCTATACATATCCAAGCAATGAACTGATAACCTGTGAAAAGTGTTAAAGTCATACAGAAAAATTAGATTTTCCAGAAAATAAAACATTCAACTGTATTTTGTTTTCTTGTTTACAAGCCTGTGAATTATATTTTTATATTCTCCTGTAAGTTTGCAAAATTCATTGGGTTTTAGTATTTGTGCCAAGTTTCTTTTGTATGTTTGCCAATTTAATTCATATATTGAATATATGAATATATTGAAAAGTATAATTGAACATTGCTTTTGTATATGTGTATATTATAAACATGTTTAACAAATAAACATGGTCTTACAGACTCTTTGAATTCTAGCTAATATGCATTATAAATCAGTAAACCATGCCAGTTTTATAAATTGTACAATGCCTTGGCAGACAATTTGCTTTTTTCCTTGCCTATTTAAATTCAAGATTTCTGAAGTGTGAGTTCTTCACACATTAAAATTAAATATGATGTTTATGATTAAAAGAAACTCATACTAATTTAAAACTTCAGCAACAATGCTTTTGTCTGTATGCATTGAAAGAGGAATACAGTTATATTATCACTCTTTGAACACATGTCTTTTCATTTATGCATTTGATATGCAAATTTATGAGTATTAATATTTTTTAAAATATACATTAATATGGTGGACATTCAAATGGCAATAAAATTGTTCATGATCCAAGCTGTTCTTAAAAATGCAATTTATCCTTCTATCTGCAGAATAGAATTAAGAGTAGAATAATATCTTCTAATCTTAATTCTATTCTGCAGATAGAAAAACAAATAAATAAAACTCAGATTAGAAGATACATTGATATGGTTCATACAACATGAGTAATCAC